GTAGTGCAGTAACCTATCAGCAGTCCAGAGTATGAAACATAGATTTAGTCAACGCGAGGGTCGTTCGGGCTGATTGTGATAAAGTGATTGACATATAGTTACGTCTTTATGTAAGCAGGAATGAAAATACGCTATGATTGCAGTAGTGGTCTGATGTCGACCAGGTATCTTGGTCTAAGGGGACGGACTTGAGATCCGCTAGACATGCCAGTCTGCGTGAGTTTAGATTCCACAGATACCATAACAACGCAGCATTGTCTTCGATGCGTTGGTGTCATAAGAAGTAGTATAAAACTATTTTTGACCACAAAGTCAATTTTTGCTACTTCTGCAGTGTAAGAGGGCACTGTTCACAACTATTCCTAAAACACTACACACATGCTTGCGCAGCGAGGAAGCGATTCCCGACGTAGGGGGAGAAGGACAGTCCCGACTTGGATAGAAGAAGAACGACCTAATACTTCAAAAGTAAATTTGAACTGAATTAAAAATGAGATATGGACCCTAGCTACATGCCAAACACCCCAAGAGCTCCTAGAGAATTTGCTATTATAACCTTGGGTTCTTAATTTATAAATCAAGGGTATACTGAGCTAGAACCTTAGCTTCACCTAATATAAGATCTTGGGTTTACGGACCTTGGGCTTCAAAAGATTGAGCTTCAACTTTCGTGGAAGGTATCCAGTAGAAGTGACAGGCTCATGCCGCCCACTTCAAAAGCTTCAGCTTCAACTTTCGTGAAAATTATTCAGTAGAAATGACTGGCCTTCGACCTACCTCTCAAGCCAGAGATGCGTCGTTCTCGTCATAGTACAGACCATCAAGTAGGAACCAGCATTCTATCTTCGAATGAATATTAGTGAGAAAACACGTATGCATTTGAAAACACCACACTGTCATCTTTTCTTATTTATTCCCAAAACACATACCGAAGAAACCTTCAGGTAATGGCTCAGTGTAACCCATAACACCATCCCCTCCTTGAAATCAAAAGTACTTTGATAGTTTTGCAGACCTTTTGAAGCAGCGCACCTTCGGTCAACAATGAAGCGATCCAGTGAACACGCAGCATGAAAGAGCTTCCTTCGCCTAAACGGCAAAGAACGGTTCCAGAGCACTTTGGCATTCTTTCATTCTTCATCGAAATGGACAAGACAAGAGGTTCTACATGAAACGATTCTTTTGTTGGCGTCGGATCAGCAACCGTGGTGATCCGACTCAGCCCATCGCAGCTAAGCTTGACCCTTGGCGGAAATTTGTTCGCCTTGAGAGCGAGAACAAAATGGAACGTCTGCTTCGCCGAGTCGGTGCTGGCAGGACTCACAGTCACGACCGAACACAACCAAGCTCAGGTCGTCGAAGTGTTGACTCTAGCACCACTACAAGCGATTTTTCGTAGCTGCGGACCACGTCGGGGGCATCCCTGACGAGGTTCCCATGTACCCGAGTCCGATGGATAGCCGCGACACCAAACTCTGTAGAAGCGCTGATGGTTCAACTGCTTCTTATCACGAGTCGATCGATCCTCGTGATCGGCAATTGTCTCAGCCACCCAGCGACGCTACCCACGAGAGACTAATAGCACAGGTGAGGCTGAACTTGAAAACGATCGAGCGGCTCTGGAAGCGAAACAGCACTCATCGCGGGCAAATTGAGGCCTTGCAGCAGCGTTGCTCGACGCTTGAAGATCGCTGCGAGAGCCTTTCGAATCTTGTTGCAGAGCAGAGCTCGGAACTCGACGTTCTGACTGATTTTTTCGCCCAGTGCTCGGCTTTGGACCCAGTTTTGAAGTAGGATCATGATGAACTTATTCAACTCCGGAAGGACGAGAATTTTGGCACGAACACCTGTTGCGCTCTGTTGAAGAGGCAGGCTCTGGTTTTGAGGTACTCCCTGGTGAGTAACATTCAAGAGTTGGAATTCCCAGTATTGGAAGGAGAGTAGGGCGAGGTGCGCCAGCGGCGTGACGTGAGTACTGCTCAAACCTTGCGGACACCGTGTCCGTATCCCAACCTCTCGACTTCCTGGGAAAGTGGTATCATTATGATGATCCGCGTCGTCGTGACCCCGCGCTTCTCGGCAATAGCCAGGGAAGCCGGAGGGCCATGAGCTGAGCGCAAGCTTTGGTTCTGAGCTGCTATGGTCGTAGACTCACCCGTGCGAGAAACCACGGAGCTCGCAGGAGCGTGATGGATTAATCCATATGTCGCAAGGCGACAGTCCGTAGGAAGTCGGCGACGCGCCTTGAGTCTTGCAACCTCGAACCGAAGATGGCGTTCTACACGCAAGTCCACCTCCTTGTGGCTCCGCTTGAGGTTTTACAGCGAGAAAGGTTTCCGGTACCGCTGCTCGCATCGCTCAATGAGCTCTTCGTCATCTGCAGCGGTTTTGCCAGGGGCGAGCACCACAGGAATCGTCCACATCGCGGGTACAAGTGCGCCTCATCTTTGAGGGCAAAGCCGAGTGCGGTACGCATCCAGCGAAATTTCTTGCGAAACCAAGAAGCGAGCTCATAAAGCCTTTTGTTTGTCAAGCTCAGCTTGTGTAGTGGCCGGGGACCCGATCACGTAGACGTCCAATGATCGAGTGATCGCGCCCCTCGCTTCTGTAGCGGGATCC